AAAGAAAATGTAATTAAGTAAAAATGGAATTTACCGGTCTGCACGTGGAGGCTGATCTTTGCCTTCCCTTCCCTTGTTTCCCCTACCTCTTAAAAATCTCTTTTTTACTTCCTTTTTTCTTTATACCAACCACCAATGAAATGCCGAATTCCCCTAGCTTGGTTTAATCATTCATTTCTTTGGAAAGACCCAAATGTAAAAATAGAGCAACGCAGCAGGGACATAGGACGCTTTTCTTTCAGCTCTGTCTTCGTGTTCTGCCTCCCTTTCTCCAAATGGCCATGTCTTTTCTCCCTTTCCTCCCTCAGTACTTCTCCCTCTCAATAATCGTTAAATCTTTGTGAGGGATGGAGGGAAAGGAATTGGGCATGGGAAGTGTAGAGATTTCATAATGAGAAAACAGAAGGGGGGAGCCCCCAGAAATTTCACAAATTAGCCTGAGGAAAATTAAATTTGCAGGTGGTACGGGGCCATATTCTAGACCTGCATAATTCCACTCTGCTACAAGAGTGGTACCTGCCTTTTCAGTTTACTGTTGCTTTTGTTTCCATTTTCTCCTGTCTTGTCTCCACCTGCAGTTACTTGTTCATGACTTGGAAAATAAGCTTTTTGCAGCAGGGACTGCTTTGTGGTTTTGTATGTGAGTGGTTTCCGCTTATTTGATATTACCAGGTCGATGGTGATAAAAATAAAGTCATCATCCCTCTCTGGAGAACTCGTCTCAAAATTTGAGACTGTGCTCCTATTTAAAACACAAAAAAGACTGAATTCGGCGATAGTCTGATTACAGTGTTTGGGCAATAAGTGTGTATTATTTCTTAGGTACACCAGTACTACTACTTGCAGAGTAAAGAACCTACACACAGCTTCTGGAAAGGGTGAACTAGCTGTGTGCCACCTCAGTTCAGTTCCCACGTTCCAGTTCAGTTTCAGGTTAGCTTGGGCATCTGCACTATGGACGTTTACAACCCTTCCTTTTGTACAGGGGGGAACAGAGGAGATGATAGTGATTTTTTTTTCTTTGCTACTAAGTAACATTGAACAGCAGCTTCAGAATGAGAGTGAAGCATGATGCCATGGATTAAAACACTGGTTGAAATGAACCCACCCCCTGTAACGGCTGGATCTTTTATGGATGGAAGTGTTTTAGTAATAAAGAATCAAGTGTAGTTGTCATTTATGACAAAGAGGGGTTTTCATATTATTTGTAAAGTAAGAGGTGTACCCTGCATTGCACTGTGAAAGTGTTGTACAGGAATCATTAATGTAGAAGACAAGCGTATGCTTTTGCTACAATATTTCTCTAAGTAAGTGAGTAAATCTTTCTTCTGGATGTATCCAAGCCAAAAAGATAATGGTCTCACAGTAGTAATGTATGGCACAGAATTCACTGATTGTTGTGTAAAACAGTGAAAGAAGATGGAAGAGAAAGCATGTGGATGAATTTTTCTTCTGCATCCTTCCTTTTGAGTAGTTGAAAATGTGGTGTTTCTGAGCAGGATGTTTTCATGTGTTTTTTTTTTTTTTGTTTCATTTTGGTTTTTTTTGAAAGGATAGTGTAGGAAATTATGCTAACAAGAAACACAACCGTTTTATCCTGCCAAAGGGGATAGGCATCTTTTAATTCCTGAAGTGATTCTGAAGGTCAGTAAGATTCAGGGACTCTATATTGCTGCTTTGTCAATCTATAAGCAATTAGTTGCTTGGGCCTGCCAAAGAAACAGGTAGCTTATTGGTATAGGTCAATTAGTCAAATATTTGCGTTTGATTATTGCCTAAAATACTAATTGGCTGCTTTCCCCTAAATAACTCATTGCAGTTCTAGAATTTCAAGTATTGCACTTTCTTGATGGTACTCGTCTGAGCTTCACTACAGAGTATCTGCGATCACATCAGCACAAAAATGTAGAGGTTTTTTCCAAAGCTGAAAACCGAAATACCTCTTGTGGGAACAATACCAACAGCAGCTCAAACTTGTTCAGGGTTCAGTCAGAACATGCTAAGTTCACAAGTCTCAGGAGAGGTCTTTTCCAAAGGCTTAAGAGAACATTGCAGGAGAAGTGAAATCATAGGTAGACAACAGAGGGAATCGGAGTTCTTACACTTCGCCTTTCTTCTGATAAATGTGCTGTAATACTAACCAGGGATTTAGATCATCTACTCCTACTGTAACAGCATAAAATCATGTTCGGGCAGAATCTGTATTATTAACATTTCCCTTCCATTCTTCCAGTTCCCCAGCTAGTTCTTGGCCCAACTGGAAAAGTGGCAGCAATGCTACATACACATGGACAGCATGTGGTTGGCTGGCGAGCTGGGTGTTTTTTTCCTCCACCACACCGTTTAACCAGGCTCGGAGCAGTCCTGAAAAACACTAAGGCGCTAGCTCTGACAGCTCACAGCGTTTTGCCCCAGGTGTAGTTCCCCCCAGAGGACTCTGGGTCTGAATGCTGAAGAGAAAAAGAGAACAGATGTCCTTTCTTGTCCTCGACAAGAAAGGAGTGAGTATTGCTCAGCAGAGAGTTTATTTCACAGCTTGCTTGTATCTATGGGGTAATATCAAGCAGTAAAATGTTAGCAAGAAGTAAGTTTAGTAGGGGATACTGCTTCCACGCTGCCCAGTATTAAGCTGTAAAAATCATCCCTGAAATACGCCTCCTTCTGCGATGAAGAGTTACAAGTGGGTTGTAATTCACCATCTACTTCTGAATGCAGCGATATGCAAGAGAAAGACAGACCACTGCAGCAGGTGATGTGGGAGTGGAGAGGTTACTGTATAAGAAAAGCTAGAAGGAGAAATTACTTTTCACGACACTAGGGAGTCACGTTTCAAACTTGGCTTGTAATTGTATGTACTTCACCTGTCTCTGAAATTCTCTTACATATATTAATGTTACAGCAATCTATATGAACAAGATGGGCAGTATGCCAAAGGGGGTTGTAATTTTCAAGTACCTCTGTATTGTTATTGGAGAGGGGAGGAGGATATCCACTAACAGTGTAATTATGTGGCAATTCCAGGGAAATTGATTATTATTAGCTTTTTATGGTCACACTAACAAAGTCAATGATCCAAGATGAAATAGCAAAAATTAGTGCTTGAACAATATTCAGCAACAAGGTATCACCAGGTGAGAGCGGATGTACCTGAAACCAGCTAATTCCTGAAACTGAAATGGCCATCTCCCACCAATTATAACGATGGATGCGCTCTATTAAAGCCTGATCCGCTTTAATGGGGGACTCCCAGGATGAGAGGCCACGTAAGTATGCAATGACACATACAGTATCGAGAAGTGGGTGGGTGTTTATTCTAAATACCCACATCACTGGGGTATTTGCACCTTTAACCAACAGAGAGAATTACAGGTAGTGAATACAGATCAATTTCTTCAAGTTGGTTATTGCTTTAACAAAATCTTTTGTCACTCTTTCTAACATCCATCTTCAGTCCCCCAGACACGGCACGGAGACTGGATACCTGCATAGTCAGAACTATCATTTGCCAGCCATGTCTTCCCCTTTGAGGCTCCATGGTTTTATAAATAATAATTAAAAACACTTCTCTCTAATGCGAGAAGGCTTTTCTAAAAGGAGAGCAAGTTGCCGCAATACAATAGCGTAATATTTTTGAAGGTCATAATAATAAAGTAGGGGAAAGAGAATAACCATTATTGCTCTTTCTTGTAATTAGTTTGCTTTCTGATATTCCACACTGCAACTAGAACATTATTCAAGAACACCCATCACAGTGCTTAACAAGATTTAATGTACATTTATTCTTAACATGTGGAACATATAAAGATTTTATACTGAATAAATGAAATTCATTAAGCCAGAGGAAAAGGAGGAATTTACATCAAGTTTTTTCTTTTTTAACTACATTATCTTGAAATACAAATGCAGATTCTTGTCACTGAAAAATCTTTGAAGTTGTGTTTCTTCCTTTTTTTTTTTCCTGTATATATTTTTTTTTGTCTGTAGACTGGTAACCATTTTCTTAAATCAATCCATACGTAACCATTTCCACACCTTGATTTATAAAGCAAATTGTGATCGGCTGCTCTCCCGAAATAGAGCATGACTTTATACATACAGAAACTTGTACATTACCCTCAGTTGTTGGTTTTCTGTGTTGGGTTTTTTCTTTTTTCTCTTTTTTTTTAATTATTTTTTGGAGATATGGCCCAAATGAAAGAAAAAAATAATTCTACTATCACTTTGTAGATACCACATCATGAAAAAGAAACTAAAAACTTTGTACTAAAAAAAAAAAAATGAGGGTATGTTTAATGTACAACTTCTATATACATCACGGCCCTTAGGCAATAAAAAAATATTTTAAAAAATGATTAAAGGAATTGTGAAGAACTGTCATTGTGGAAGGTCAAAAAAAAAAACAGATGTAGACAAGACAGTTCTGGTGAGGAAGCAATTGATGTTTATCATCAGGTTTTGTTTAAAAAATCTTTTAACTTGACTTTTTTGTTTTGTTTTGCTCCTAGCCTAATGTAACCATTTCTCCTGAGGAGAAACCAGTATCGTTTTGTATTTTGACTACTGACTGACACCCTCCTTGATCCCCTACACCTACATCACTAGAATCTTCTATTGCACAGAGCTTTGGGTGATGGTATACAAGTTTTTTTTAATTTTTTCCTTATTTGAAAAAATAAAACACACAGGAACTTGGTATGTTGGTTATTTTTCACCTTTTTGTTTCAAAGTGGTGAGATTTTTTTTTCCATCATACAATGGTTTGCCATAACATTTTTTTTTTTAAAAAGTCACTAGTTCGCTTCCCAAAAAATATGCAATACAAACATGGAAAAGAACATTGAAAAGGATAATCTATGGAAAAAAAAAAAGTGTGACCTTTGAATGTACTAGACAGCAACTTTGGTTAAAAAAAATAAAATAAAAAGATGTACTTATACACATAGACAGCAAATATTAATTTCATAACTGTTCAAATTAATAATTTCTTTAATTTCCAATTGGTAAATAGTGAATGGGGCAGAGGAGCAAAGATTCTTTTTTTTTCCTTCTTCCTACGTTGGATAAACAAGAACAGAAAACAGCCAGTTATATGTGACCCTCTAATCTCCACTCACACATGCTTGGCTTCTCACTTATGTCATAACTGCCCAATCTGAAAAAGTACATCACAGATGACAGATGCAACCAGAGAGTTCAGGACAGCAGATATTGAGATATCCAGCAAACGACCCTCGTGCAAAAGGAACTCTGAGCGGTTCTCGTCCACTCTAGCCATGGCCAGCAAGGCCTTGGCTGCCCTGCACATCATGTCTACGCTAGGCGGCTCCAGAGGTGGAGGCTGCATGTGCATGAGGTTATGCTGGCTCTGCTGGTACTGGGCCATAGTGACCCCATCCTCCAGGAAGCTTATCAAGTTTCCGATGCTTCCCTTCTGCACAGCTATTGCCCTTGCTGCTAATGTGTCCCCCTGGGCAAGGTTCGATAAGAGCGCCATGGACATTTCTCGGCAGACCGGGTTTTTGCGGTCCCCAACGTACCTAACTAAAGTAGCGTAGAGTTTCTCCTGACGACTGAATGGGGGGGTGGCCAAGATAAGGTCCACATTATTGTCCTGGATACTGAGCTTACACAGGGTCTCCAGCACAAGTCTCTGAGGCGAAAGAACTGAGTTGGGCCCCACGGTTGGAAAAGGATCCTGTGCCTCCGCAGACGGGCACACCATCCAGTGCAGCAAGCCATCCAAAATTGGCAAACAGATGCTTTCTGTGTAAGCAGACAAGTCTAGCTGCCCAGAAATGTTGGCTAATGTGACCAATGTATTATCCCTCAAGACCTCGAGGCAGTCCCACCACCACTCATCCTTGCTGCAGGCCACCCCTTTGTCCTCCTCTTCCTCTTTCTCGTAAGTCTGCGGCGCTCGCTTTCTTTCTGGATGCTCGTGGTGAAGAAGGATCAACTTTCCCAGGATCAGCACCAAGCCTGGATGTTTGGACATTTCGGTGTCATTGCCAGGCACAAAAGACAAGCTACGGACGATATTTGACACACAGATGCAGCGTTTGGCCAAGGAGTCTTGCCAGTGAGTTATGGTGCATAGAGGAGTCTCATCCCGGCTCCTTGGCTCATCCTCTAGCAGTTTAATATTCCGGTGGCTTTTGGCTTGATGGATCCCAAAAGGAAATTTACTGCTCTCTGTTTGGGAACCAGAGTTTGAGTCTTCAGGCAGTGCTCCCGGCCGAGCTGAGAGGACATCATCAATGGTTGCCGTTATACTTTTTTCTTGTTGTTCCTCAGATTCACCTTTCCCCTCGAGGTCCTTCTTTTTGCTTGGAGAGTTCAAGGGAGGAGGGGCTTTCCTGCGCGGAGGAATCTCCATCTTGCTTTCAAAGTGAGTCTGGATATGCTCAGTTGTGTCACCACCACCAAGCTGCCAGTGGAGAAGTCCACTATCAAATTCCTGAACGCGTCCGAGTTTGTCAGATCGGTCAACAACAAATAGATTATTTTTCTTTACAATCTTTATTGGCAGCTTGTCAAATTTACTGGCTTGTTTTGGCCTCTCACTTGGATCAGCAATGGCACCAGGAGTGGAAAAAACAATGCTCTTTTCTTCTCCTTCTACCTTTTCATCCTCCCCCTCCTCCTCCTCTTCATCAAAATAGTCAATACATTCGTCGTTCTCCTCTTTTCCAGTATCCTCTGCCAAGGATTGGCTATCATCTTTCTTGGCTGCTTTGTGATCAAGTGCTTTGTGGCCTGGATCTCCCACTTCATATTCCATAAGGATTCCAAAAATGTCAATCAGGCATTTTCTAAAATATTCTACTAAAAGCTCAAGAAATCCAGACAACTGAGGGGAGAAGAAAGAACATAAAAATCAGATAAATATTTTCATCTGCACGGAATCCTATCAGTAACACCGATGCATGCATCTGTGAATATTTCCTTCCTCCTGCTGTGGACCTGTGGCTAGGTCCTGCATGGCAGAAGTTAATCAAAGGAAATTCTTCTAGCGTCTGTCCAAACAGTATATAATGTCAAACTATCACGGCTCCATTTGCTAAAACTGTAACGGCTATGGGAAGTACAGAACTTTATTCATATGTCTCCTTTAAGCTACAGGAGACATCTAGCCTAGCTGTTCTGTCCCCTTGGAAGTGCCTAGTATTCTTCATTTTCTGTACAAAGCCCTGAAGTTTCTAACTCACTTAGTTTTTCTGATTTGTACTTTTATTAGATGCCTAAAGTTCACAATTCTTCCTCTCCTCCTTTGTCTCTCAGCCTCTAAAACCAACTGTCCTGCAGGAATCTGCAGTTCAGGGTCTAGGTACTGACATCCTATTGGGATAGTTCCATTTTTGCCTGGCAATATTTAAAAATTGTTATTGGAGCCTGGTGCTGTAAGTCACCCTTCAGAAACAGTTTTCATTTTGGTTTAATCCTCTTAATTAACTTGTAATCACTTTCTTAGGGAAAGGCAGTAGTTGGACTCGGTATTAATTTACCCTCAGTGGCTATACTATTAAAAATTCTGTGCTGTTATGATGTATTCAGCCTGATTGTCTGTCTTTTAATGTTTTTTTTTAATCGTGGGCTAATAGTTTTTCAGCAAAACGTATCATTTTGTCCATTCTGCATTCTCTTATGATTGCCAAACCCTTGAAGAATTAAGAACAAACCAATGCTTATGAGCTGCAGGAATTATCAGTCATCATATGGAGTCCTGACTGCCATTGGAAATAGAGTCCAAGACAAAAATAACAAAAAAATATATATTTAAAATATGCCTGGTATTCTGTGCAACTTGCACAGGGTGCATTAATGCAGTTTCTAATAGAATTCAGAGGAGATTCACCTCACTGAACTTCAAACACCTGCAACAGTTACACACCTAACCTAATTGTCTATATTCCTTTTATAATCAATGGTCTTTTACAGGCCATTTCTGGGGTATGATTCATCTGCCCTATTTTAGATCTCTACTTCAGGATGAGATGAATCATGCTATAGATATCCCTAGTTCTAAAGTTAGGTGGGATGAAATGTACCATTTGTGTCTGTATTTAAAAAAAAGGTCATTATATTTAAAAAATGACGAGTTACACTATTAGTAACCAAGGAATGAACGGAGCAGAAAACCTGAATATTTAATTTGTGCAAATTTGAGATGATACGCATTATCAGCATGCCATCTATTACTACTACGTAACAGGCCAATGGTTAGAGCAGGGCTGAAAGATGCTGGAGGTAGTGAGGCAAAAGCACACACTGTTAAGTCCTGTGTTACTTGCATCCTGTGGACAGACAGTGGATTTTAGCCTTTAAATTGTCGATCTGATATTTCTGCGCAAACTTAATTTACTGGAAGAAGAAACCAAAGAGAAAATAAACAATTTAAAAAAACCCACAGCCTAGTATGGAACTACTGAATAAGACAAGTAGTCACCAAAAGACAGCCTTAGATCAATTTAATATAGTTTTGCAAAGCCTTTTATGGAAACACAAGTTAAACAAGATTACTAACATATTGCCGTTTTCTGGGATTGTCCTTGTGCTATCATGAGTGTGAATTTACACATTAGTCTTCTGTCAGTGCTACAATTCTTATATTCCTCCGTGCTCCTGTCTACAAGAGATACCCTTCTTTCAGGTTTATTACTTCCCCTACTCGACCTAAAGCTACCTCTTGTTGCTCACCGTTACCAAGTGTAAAAAAGGGAAGTTTTGCAATATTCAAATTTATGTTAATTATAGTAAATTTTAAAGGACTTCAGCATTTTTGTAGGTATTTCAGTTTTCTTTCCTTGAAAAGCTGAGAAGTATACTGCTTTCCCACCTACCTGAGAGAGGTTGAAAGTAGCGACAGTGCTGTCATCATACAGAAGAATATTAATAGTGTCTAGCGCCCAGGTACTTTCAGCCAAAAGACCAGATTTAAGAGACATCATCACTCTCCAGGCCTCAGGAGTTACTGCAGAAAGAAAGGAGGAGAAGTAAAACAGTATTAGTGCATCCTCGGAGACCGTTAATGAGTTCTGAAAGACTAAACTGTGACATTCTGAGGATGCAGAATTTAAATGAAATAGTTACTGGAACACTGGTTAAGACCCTGTTTTCACCACTTAGTCTTGTTCAGTTTTTCTGTAACTGCTGCTCAGCCTTAATACTGGAGGACATCTTAACAGGGCCATTCTTCTGACTTTGCGGAAGTCTAAATAATTGTACAAACGTAGAGAAGTTGACTAAACCAAATAATCGGTAAACTAAGGTAGAATACTCTGTCAGGAGTGTGGGAACTTGAAGTATGAGAACTTGAATGTATGAAATGTAACAGGAATTCAAGATAAGAAGATACTTGGGAAAGAACATGGGGAGAAACAAACATGACAAATAATATGGAATGAATAAAGGGGCCATTCAAGGGAGGCAGAGACTGTAACTGCACAGCAGAACAGCATGAGCTTCCATGGAACAAGAACACAAAAAGCTTTGCTCAGCTAGATGTTCTACTGGTGATTTAACAGACGTTCTGAAGGACCTTTCAACACATATAATTTGGAAATCTGAGGCAAGCTTCATTTTTAATGCATTTCTGGAAACCTCAGGTCTCCATATAAAATACTGCCTTCATTTCATGTCAGATCGTCTGGGATGAGTTTTATCTATCATCCTTACTGACGCATGTGTTATTATATTTTTATTGAACACAATCACATCATAGTTACCAAAGTTAACTATTTGTCAAAATAGTCTTAAAATGTAAAAGAAAATCAAAATCAAAGTCCCTTTCTCCCAACCTAGTTTGGTATTTGCCTTTTGTTTTGATGCTTACCAATATCTTTTGAGGTAATCTTTCGTCTTGGTTTTAAGACTGGTTGGGATGCTTCTACAGAGCCTGGGGGGAAGGTAATTTCTCGCCTAATCGGTGGTGGTTGGGGTGGAGGTCCTGTGACCTGTGACACCGGAACTGTGGGTATAACCTTTTGCATCTTCATGGAGGGTAGGAAAGGAGACTTGCTTGGAGACATACGGTTTTCCAAAGAGCGCTGGAAGGATGCTGGACTCGGAGCTCTAGAGATGTGGTTTGGCATAGAGGGTGGCGTCTGGTAGGATGACTGAGGAGGTCTAGTGATAGGCTGCATGGAGGCTGAGGATGACATATAAGAAGGCTGACGTTGGTTGACATGAGAAGGCCACTGACTCTCGTGGTTTATCCTCTGGTCAGGTACCATCATATCATCAGTGCGATTCATCCCTGGATACGGTGGGGCCTGTGCAGGGCCTCCTGGACCTTGCCTATTCTGGTAAGGGTAAGGCATATCATTTCGTGTTGGCCACATGTTCTGCTGAGGACCTTCGCTGGAGGATGACGACTGCATGGGGCCACCAATCATCTGGGGAGGTATTCCATGCTGCTGAATTTGTCCTGGGCCCTGCATCCTCTCCCTGTTATACGGATATGGATACTGTCCCTGCATGGGCCTCCTGTCAGGCCCCGTGTAAGCGTTGCTGTACTGGTTATACATTTCCTGTTGCTGGTTGCCATACTGCATGTTATACATATCCCCTTCATGGCGTTTGGCTGGAGGCCCATACATGCCATCCATGTGTCTCTTATAGTTCTGAAAAAAAATTTTGGAAAGAAGATGCGTCACTTTTACTCCATACACAATACAAATATATTGGCTGAAAGCTCATTTAAAAAGCTGAAGGCGCTTAGTTCTAGAGTGATTGTGCTGATTCCAGAGTCAGGCACGCAGGTTACGCTTGATCCAGTGCTTTCTTTTTAAGCCTCTGTTTTGCTGTGCTTATAACTTAATACTAAAAGGAAACTTATCCTTGGGCTAAATTTTCTTAGGCTTGCTCTCATTTTCTCCCTTTCCCTTTTCCTTCCTATCTGTCAGATTAAATTCCACTGGTCATTTCAGACATGCATGAAAGGGCAATGGTCCTCACCAACTAAAATATTTTCACTTCTTTTTTATGCTTAGTCTACTAAGAAGAAAAATCTTAAGAAAATTCAAAACCACTCAGTGAATCTTTTCAAGAGACAAGCACTGAATAAACTCTTAAAATAACAAGATATCCTGCAAGCATGCACGTCTCAAACACTGGATCTTACAATAGGGCATAGGCTACACACTGTAAATTTATTAGTAGGAAAAAACATTCCACTGCATTTGCTACTCTGTGTAATTCCCAGGAACACGGTCCTGTTTGGGCAACCATCCTTCTTCCCAAATCACCCTAATCACATTTAATTTACTGTGAGATTATTACAGCAAATGGTCACATCCAAACGTTCTGTTCTAGTTTATGCAGGTTCTTACCCTGCTGATCGGTAATGAATTAAGCAATGTAACTAACAGCTGCCACCTATGGTTTATTCCCTCTTTGTTTCTCACCCTCTCAAGTGGGGAATGTTGTGTGAGGTAAGCTGTTTTACGCTGGGGGGAGCTGAGTTGTTTTGAAATCATACAAGCTTGTATGTTTTTATGTTTAAGACGGCAGAACAAAAAAAGAAATGTCGCAGTTTGAGGGGAAGGTGGTAAGGTTTGCAGCGGTCCTTAGTTCCTGTGGGAGTTTGTTCCACAGTTCAAACCACACTGAGTGCTCTGAAGCAAAAAATGTGAATTAAATGGGTGATTTTTGAATATATGATCTATGGCAAATTCAAAGTTACGGCTCCCCCGGAAACTGTAGCTCAGTCACATTGCACAATGTATACTAATGTACTAGACTTAAAATCAGATAAAATTCTGTATGTATTCAATATGGGCCAGTTAAAACAGCTCTGGGAGTCATAAACTCATCTTCCAACTTTGGTGCACATAAACCCACAACTACTGTATTGCATGAGAGTATTTTTTTTTAAACCTGCTACAGAGCTGTCTGGCTATCTGAGAAATACCTATTTTCAGCCTTACGTAAACTACTTGCTGTAGTAAATTCCACCCTTGGGACCAATTTATACATTAAGAACTGACTTGGTAGTTGCCACACCTAAAAAGGTGGTGTTTGTTTTGCCACAGAAACTCAGACCGCTTAAAAGTAGACACTTGGGAACGAAGCATGTGCCTTTTTAAAAGCAGTTCAGTACTCTTGTGTATGTAGTGGCAACATGCCTAATGGTACCCAATGCTGTGCACAGTGATGCACCTGAACTCCCCCTCCTGTGTAAAGGTTCGGCAGGAGACTGAGGCTGCACAATGTGTGTCTCTCTCCACTGGGGATGTGGAATTCTGAGACCTCACAGAAGACAAAAAGACACCAACGCAGGTCACCTGCTGCATAATAGCTCTTGGGGTATGAGCATTCGTACAGGAATTGAAAAACCTGGCTCAAAGTGCTTCATTAGCCCCAGGAGTTCATGCTCCAAGCACCTCCTTCCCAGGTCATTCCCTAGCCTTCAGGTTGTAGATAAAGCTTCGAAAGGGCCATTTTTCACATTCTTCCTGTACCACTACAGAGTGAGATTTAGGAAACTGAAAATAAGCTAGCGGCAATCTAATCTCTAGCTAAATGAAGAAGTGGAATCCTCTGGGAGTGGGAGGGAGAGGCTGAGGCTGGCCAGGATCCTTGCCCTTCATTCTTCACTGCTTTTTTGCATTAATGCATTCTGCATTCAAGAGTCATTGTACAAAGCATATAAACAGCACTAAGGACAGGGCCAAATATATTTTTACAAATTCTAGCTGTCTCCTTGCTTAAATGAACATGTAGTTAATATATTCCCTGCATACGTTAGCATGGAATATCACAGACTGTTCTGTTATATATCTTTGCAATTTCCCCACTAAATCACCTAGACCGCTGGCATATGCTATCATGAACAACAACAAAACAGTTTTTTGATTATGCTATTTTAGAGATGTTATGAACCAAAGAGATAAGCAAGAAATTCTGAAGTTGAAATTTATACACATTTTCAGCACAGTGCAACCTAAGATCTCTTTTAGGCTCCCCCCCCTCCCCCTGCCTCCGAATTTCCTAGTAAAACTCTATCCCAAACTGAAGGAGACTATCTGAAATTGGCTGAAAACTAGCTTACATTTTAATTTTTATATTATAAAGAAATGCTTTCTATTTTGGAAGCCAGCTTCAACTTTATTATTGTATGACTAGAAATGAATTAATAACATGCAGGATGAAACTCTGATCCTGCGGAAGTCAGTGGAGTTCTGCTATTGACTTATAAGATGGGATTTTGCCCACAAGGTATTAACGATACACCTAACAAAAAAGTCTCATTAGTATAATTTGTATTTTCAAAGTTATTACACAGTTAGGGAGACAGGAATGTACAAATGTTTAAACTATTTTTAATACTAATAATGTTCTCTCTCATGTATTTGTATTGTATTGTTACTAGAGATAACATGTGGGGAATATGCCATCTGATCTATATTAAAGATAGGTATCTCATATGACCCACCACAACATTCTAGATAATTGAGAGTGCTGCACGTTTTACTTTGTTCCAGTTTTCTGTTGGGTTCACTTGGCTGCATGACATTAAGTTAAGGCCCTTCAACTTGCCAGCCAAGCAGCTTTCCTATCTGTTTCTGGAATTAAGGCAGCATCGCTTTACTAGCCTACGAATTATACTTTCCCAGTCTGCTGGTTATTAACGTGGGACAATCACCTGATACACATCCAAAGCCACAGAACATGTGTTAAAATTTACACTCTTCCAGTGTAATGAACACATTTTCCTATAGCTGCACATATACTGCTGATCCATATGGGCTGTGATTCTGACCAGAACTACAGTGCTCCTCTGTGCCAAAAGACATATATTGTATAAACAAATTTTTGAATGTATACAGAATTTTGGGGTGACATTTATTAAACAAATGTTATGAATATAGCTGTTTTCCCCTCTCCTACCTGCTGTTGTGGATACATTCCAGGTTGATGTCCTCCATATGGTGGCTGTCCTGAGGGAGGTCCTTGTCCTGGATACTGCTGCCCGTATGGTTCATGCCTAAAATGAAGCATTCAAATCGACAGTTAGAGCTGTTGGAATTTCCAAGCCACCGGGAAAACCAAAGTACTCTGATGATCTTGCACCTTGAAGATATTTGCCATTTGGAAACAAGATGAAGGTACAGTGTGGTTATGGTCCTGAGCCTGATGTAGTCAGTTCTGCTGGAGCTGGCAGTGGAAGGAAGGAGATAAAGCAGATAGAAGAAAGGAGGAGCAGTGAAGATGCAACAGAGAGATTTAGAGGTAGCAGTCAGGAATGGGAACAGCGTATGGTCAGCAAAGTGATAAGAAAGGCAGCTGCAGCCGCTGGGAACCCATCTTAGGTGGAAAAGTATCTGATGTACAGCTCAAAGGTTGCAAGTCAAAATTCTTGTGTTTTAATAAGTCAGTCTCCAAGCAAGCTACTTTCTGGATTATTTAAGAATATAATCAATATTTAAGTGCCGATTTAAAGAGAAATCGTGATTTTAGTCTGACGATAGTGACAGAAAGTGAGTACAAATTTCCTTACAATATGTATCATTTAAATACATCATTACTGAGTAAAAACAGTACTCATAATTTTGCTAATATTCATGTCATTTTTAATTAAAGCTACATAATGAAGCATACACATAAGAGGCAGAGTTGCGTTGCACTTGGAAACTTACCTGTGGCCTTTAAGACCTCTGAGGAGCACTACAGCGCAACTGCAATATTTTTAGCACATGTGAACGAAATTTAGGTTGCTGAAATGAAGTACTTGGGAAGTATTAAGATCGATAAATAACAATGTATTGCAGGCCAATATGTCAGTAATTCCTCTCTGTACACTACCAGTGAGAACACATCTATGATTCGAGTATAATTATGGAAGTAATATATCAGGGAGAGTCAGAAAAACAGAGGACTGGGGAACCTGACATGTTAAAAGAACTAATGGGACCTAATTTTTCCAAAAGCATAGAAAACTCACATTTTTTGCGAGTTGACCAGAGTGAAAGCAATAGCTGTTCAGTATCCCCTAAAATTATGCCGTGGATGGAGAGAAATTACCTAGCGTCAGTTAAAAGAACAACGTAACCGATGGGAATTGTCTACAGTTGTCCAAGATGGTACATGCAATAAGATAAAACTGAGCAAAGGTACACGTATGTTATACATAAGGGAACACTTTCTAAATGTTCAATTTGTTAGCCACAGGATAACCACAAGGCAGGTGAAGTTGTGGAAGCTTCAGAACTGGTGTCATTTAATGCCGCTCTGGAGAACTTGGGCCTAGACAGTATGCTCTAGTTCAGTGTTGGCAGGGAGATACACAAGGTAGGATGTATACTCCTTTTCTAACACCTCTGATTCTATGGCTACACAAAGTCAACCGATTCACCCAAGCCTCCGCCCCCCAAAGAAACTGAACCAATGGTAAAAGCCTAAATAAGAACAGACAAAACAGAAGTAACACACCAAGAGGCCACGCATTCTGTCTATGTGCTCTCATAGAGGCTGCTAGCACTCGTTAGCTGGTTATTGCAGATATTACAAACAGAGAAATCAGTGTTCACCTTTGCTGGCCAGGGTAACGATTAGGAGAGTACATGCTTGGGTCACTGTTTGAAGGCACCATGTTGCTTTGACCAGGTGGTCCCATACTGCCTTCAGGACCCAGCCCATGATCCGACCTAAAAAATGACAAAGGAAACCTCATTCTGATAAAAGCACTTATTCTCCAAAATTGCCAACAAAATAAAACAAAACACACCCTTAAAGAGAACATTCTCTTGACTTATCACCTTCCACTGGAACCCTTACTCTCACTGACTCCCCAGCAATGTGCTACACATCTACTACTTCAAACTACTGACTGAAAACTACTCCACTGTTACACTTAAAAGGCCCACGCTGCATCACTTTGGCTACCATCAGGAAACAAAAAGTGAAGCTAAAGTACACAGCCTAATGAAAGTACAAGTAGGAATACAGCCAGAGCTGCAAAACCTACCAGAATACTTAATATAACCCAAACATTCCCAAACCATTCTGCTTGCTATACCAATGCTTAGACATCAGTGATTTTACCGATTTTTTTTTTTCCTCTCAAAGCCTTTCCCAGGATAAACAAAAGAGGATCAAATTTGTTTTGTGTACTTCACTGAAAGACAACTTATGACGGTCCTGATGAACACACTGCAAGACTGGTGCCCCTACAGCTCAGACAACAGACTCCAGACTCTCCAAAGGCAATTCACTAACAGACCACAAACCAGACATATTTAGGCTGTGTATTTTGTTTTTCATAAAAAGCCCACCAACAACTGTTTAGGTGAAAACACGGCCAGAAGGCTAACTCAAGTGCTACTTTATGCCATCACAGCCCAGCCCAGCCCAGCAGCCAGCTGAACGCAGCTGTCAAACACACCCACGTGCTGATCTGCTACAGCTTGAGTGACTTCTAAGGTGTGACAATTCCTCCTTATTAATTTCTGTGAACAGCTAGACTCAGTCATTACCAGTGGTTTGACTCCCAGTGATTTAGTAAGGTGCTGTAGGAAATGTAGGCTGCTATATTCTCTGCAAGGTGCAATGGGAAAATGAGAAGGGGAGAGAGAGGATCATTTTCACTAATGGGCTTTGCTTTTTCCTGAAGATTGACTCACCTCCTGTCATAGCCACTTCCGTAAGAGAACTGCTGTCGCTGGCTCATGCTCATGTTGGACATTGCTCCAGATGGACTCTGGTTATACATATCTTGTATTCCACTGTTAGGCATTTGTCCAGGGGTCATGAAAGGCTCATTGCTTCCAGGCACTGCAACAGTAAGGGAAATCAAATATATTATTCTGGGTGTTTGAAGAGATCTTTTTATTAAATGATGTATTTTAAAATAAGGCTCAGATCCCTAACACCGCCAAGGAGAAGTAGCTGGTGTCTGACAAGCTCTCCAGGGTCTGATGAAAACACATGAAGCCGCACCACTACCAAGATGATGGTTGTAATATTAAGGAGCTGCAAGCAAGGAAAGTAATCTCATCCTATGGAACTGAGCTCATTAGACACCAGGCGGCTTCTTCCCTGTGGTCTTCATAGCTGAAGATGAACTTGCTCTTGTTCTTTTCACCCCAAACAATGCTAAATATGAATGCAAACATAAACGTTACAAATCAGATGAAAGCAAATCTCCTAGTTTGGATTACAAAGCTGTCAAAATCAGGCTCTTCTTTTTCCCATAAAGCCCTCATACACACATGTATACCATAATTTCATTAAGGAAAGGATACAGTATCCCAGTGTAGCTTCTCGAGCAGGATGGGCATATACTAGGGGTCAAAGAAAAGGCACGTTGACCACTATTATCGGATATAAATCCCCAAGCAAATAGAGGAAGAGACTCTATCCTTTAGTCCGTCATAGTAGATACTGAACAGACACATTTCTGTTTCGAAAGAATAAATGTGAAATGTACCACGAAGTGCAATAAACCCACTTAATCTCACATGGATATAAAACCTAAAGTGAATCTAAGGCAGAGAGAGTTCTCCCTTCCTCCAACTGTGTTATGCTAGTGTCCACAGTCCAGGCAAAAAGGGAAGGTTTAAAAAAAATCACATCAGATTAACTATCTCTTTTAAAGCATCTCCCCACTTCATCACATATCTTTCTTCCCCTGATTTCTGGACCTCTTCTTCCCATCCCTCCCTTTTGCTCCCTTTCAGTTTCCACTTTCTTAATTTCACCTCCTCCATCTGCTCTTCTCTTTGCAGCCATTGTGAGCCCCGCTTGTGTTCTTTCCTCCCACTTTCCTATACATGAGTTATGCAAGATTGATTCATTCTACGCACATTCTAGAATATCCACAAAACCATCTGTAGGTTAAGTGCCCAAAAGGACAAGAGTCAGGTTTGACATTAATCTTAACTTTTGCTTTCTAAAAATAAACAAACTTTGAGTGTGTTTATCACCTTTTGTCAGGGTCTGTCCAAGTGAGAAAAAAATCAGCTTTCCTATTCTGAAAAATATGTAAACTGCGACAGAGAGCATTAGGAGACTTGCTCAGTTCTGCACAGTGAATTCCCAGTTCAGCCCTACTACAACCAGGCATGTTGCTTCGCCACTTCACATTCTAACACTGAAGTCCAGCATCTGATTTGCAAAGTAGCTATGGAAGAAACATACAGCGTTGTACAAAATCTAACCCTATGAATTTATGCCATTTCCTGAAATGTATTCCTACAAGCATTTTTAGCATTCTGTTATGTCTAAAATAAACGGTGTGACTCCAAGAGGGGAAAATATGACCAGACCAGAATGAAACACAATTGCACTGCACCTCTCTTTTTGCTACAAGGATACCATTTTACCAATGGCAAAATCAGCAAAGTAAAAAAGCTCATTTTAATGACCAGAACCTCTTGATTACATAGAAGTAGGGAAGAGCACTTAAGCTCCCACAAAGAAAATACCTTTTCTCATTCCACCGAAAGGATCTTTATTCGGCTCATATGGCATCCTTCCCATCATATCTGGCATGTTTATTCCCTGCTGGTATGGTGCATTTGGCGTCATGGAATTTCGCTTCGGGAATGCTGAATCACTTACATCAGAAAAGGGATCATGCACACTAACTGCGCTGTTTCTAGCAGATGAGAAAAAGGAGGCATTAACATCATCATGTATTCATAAGAATTGTGAAAACAGACTGGACTATAATACACCTAGCCCATGATGCTGTGGCAGTGATCAGTGCAGGATACACCTGAGGAAGATGCAGAAAACTTTCACAATGGACAATCATTAAAAAAATCTACCCATTTTTTTTCCCCAAGCTTATCTGGCTACTTACCTTAAAGATCAGGGTTTTTAATCTAATTCAACTGTGCGTGTTCCTATTACTCATATAAAAGTCTAAACCTTTCTGAAATTTCACTAAGCTGTTTGCCTCACTACCCCAAGGCAGTGAGCTCCACAGGTTAATTATATGCTGTGTCAAAATAGTATTACTTTTTATCAGTTTCATATTTATTACCTTTCAAATTTACCAAGCACCCCATTGCTCTCCTACTAGAGGAAAGACTAAACAGCAACACTTGATTTACCTCCCAAATACCATTTACCGTTATGGAGAGGCACTAACCTTTATGGTTGCAGCCAGCTTTGTTCTAAAGCCCTTACAAATTTGGCTTGGAAAATGGAGTTTCCCTGATAACTACCAGATTTATTCTTAATGCAAAAGAAAATTTTTTACATAGTGAAAGAAAACTCAATCTGGATTAAAGATGATTAAAAAAGGTTCTCGTTATCCTTTCTGCAGTATTACAGATGGAGAAAAAAAGAACCTAAGCATGTTAAGTTCAGAGTGACTCCGTACATAGTTCAGAGTTCAGCTACGTTCCTGCTG